TTATTTTCCAAGCCAATGGCTTTGGGGAAACATTCTCCTTGTGCATTCTCCTGTGTGCCCCTCTCTCCCTCTCACCCTTTTCCATGACCATGCCTCCCTCCTGTCTTCTCTAGAGCACTCATTATGTTTCTCCCCTAAACCACATCTCGGCACTTCCTACCTTCTTTGATGTGGCCTCTTCTCTCCCTTTAGTTGTGGAGTTTGTTTTTTCAGACTTCAGATCAATTTCTGGGGTATTAGGATGATTTGATAGTCATCTAGTTTTGTTTGTGGGATGAGGCAAGCCAGGGTCATCCTACCATGCCATCATTTTCCTCTACTGAGATCGCTCTTGTTTTTCTAAATTTTGTAACTTCTCAACACCACTTTTGCTGTGTTCCATAAGTTTTTGTCTGTTGTGTTTTCATTTATATCCATCTCTAAATTTTCTCACTTTCCCTTGTGAATTCTTCTTTGATCCATTGGTTGCTGACAAGTGTGTTGTTTTAGTTTCACAATTTGGTGAATTTTCCAGTTTCCTAATGTTGTTGATTTCTGCGTCTATTTCTATTGTGGTTGGTGAAGATACTTTGTATGATATATATCTTATAAAATCTATTGAGACTTAGTTTACGGCCTGATATATATATATGGTCTGTCCTGGAAAACGTCCCAAGTGCACTGGAGAAGAATGTGTATACTGTTGTTGTGTGGAGTGTTCTGTAGGTGTCTGTTAGATCTATTTGGTACATTGTGTTAAGTCCTCTATTTTATTACTTATGTTGTCTTGTTATCCTGTCCATTGTGGTGAGTGGGATATTGAAGTCTCCACTTATTATTGTAGAATTCTTTACTTCTCCTTTCGATTCTGTGAATTTTTGCTTCATATATTTTGATGATCTGTTTGGGTACATAAATGTTTTATGTACCTAATGTTTTATTGAAAATTTTATAAGTATATAATGTTCTTCTTTGTCTCTAATTTTTTTGACTTAAAATTTATTTTGTCTGCTATTGGTATAGTCACTCCTATACTTTTTGATTACTATTTGATTACTTTTTGTATAATATCTTTTCCATTCTCACTTTCCAGTTTTGTCTTTGTAACTCCAGCCTCTTATAGAAGCATATAGTTAGATCATGTGTTTTTAATTATCCTTCCAACCTCTATCTGTTGATCGGAGAGTTTAATTCATTTACATTTAAAGTAATTTCTGGGGCTCCTGGGTGGCTTGAGCGTCTGACTCAGCTCAGGTCATGATCTCATGGTTTGTGAGTTCTGGTTTGCTGCTGTTAGCATGGAAGCCACTTTGGATCCTCTGTCCCGCCCATTCTCTGCCCCTCTCCTGCTCATACTCTCTTTCTCTCAAAAATAAATAAACATTAAAAAAAAAATAAAGTAGGGGCACATGGGTGGCTCAGTTGGCTAAGCGTCTGACTCTTCATTTCAGCTCAGGTCATGAACTCACAGTTCATGAGTTTGAGCCCCACATCAGGATCTGTGTTGACAGGATGGAGCCTGCTTAGGATTCTGTCTTCCTATCTCTCTGCCCCTCCCTGACTTGATCTCTCTCAAATACAAATACACCTTAAAAAAATCTTAAAAAAATAAAGTAATCACTGATAAAAAGGCACTTCTGTCATGCTACTTGTTTTCTCTATGGTCTACAATTTTTGTTGTTATTTTCTGCATTTCTGCCTTCTGTCTTTTGGTTTTTTGTTGTTGTAAAATGCTTAATTTCCTTAATTTCTTTTTGTGCAGTTACCATGGAGATTACATTTATCAGCCTAAAGTTGTGACTTTCTAATTGTAATTTATAGCTGCTTAACTCCAATAACATTCAAAATCTCTGCTCTTTTACAGCTCTATTCTGCCCTTTTTAGCTGTTGATGTCACAAAATTACATCTGTATACATTGCCTGCCACAATATATAGTAATTCTTTCAAATGCGTTACTGTCCTAAATCATGTAGAAAACATTATTTGGAGTTGTAAATCAATGGTACAGTAATACTAGCTTTTACACCAATAGCTGTTCTTTCTTTTAATGTATTAGTCTCTTAACTCATGTAAAAACCAAAAAGTACAGTTACAAACCATTATTACAATAACACTGCCTTTTAAAGATGCCCCTGTATTTACTTTTATTGAGATCTTTGTTTCTCCATATGGCTTTGAGTTACTATCTAATACCATTTTGTTTCACCTTGCAGGACCCCGTCCAGCAGCTCCTGCAGGGCAGGTCTAATGGTCATAAACCATCTCAGCTTTTATTCTCTGGAAATGTCTTGATTTTCCCCTCATTTTTGAAGAATAGTTTTGCTGAATGTAGGAATCTTGGTTGATAGTATTTTTGAGCACTTTGAATATATTGGCCCACTGTCCTATGACCTCTACAATTTCTGATAAGAAATCTGCAGATAATTTATCGGAGAACTTGTATGTTATGATTTCTCTCGATGCTTTCAAGTTTTTTTCTTTGTCTTTTTCTTTTGAGAGTTTGGTTATGTGTTTCAACGTGGGCCTGTAGCTTCATCTTACTTGGAGTTTGTTGAGCTCCTTGGATGTTTATATTCATGGCTTTCATTAAATTTGAGAAGTTTTCAGCCATTATTCAAATGTTCTCTCTGCCTCTTTCACTTTGCTTTCTGGGACTCGCATGATAAGTATGTGGCTACATTTAGTGTTGTCCCATATTTCCTTTAGCTCCATTTCTTTCCTTCAATCTTTTTGCTTCCTGTTCCTCAGCCTGAATAATTTCCATTGTCCTATCTTCAAGTTCACTGATTTTTCCTTTTGCCTGCTCAAATCTATTTTTGAATATTGCTAGTGAATTTTCAATTTCAGTTATTGTACTTTTCAGCTTCAGAATTTCCCTTTTTAGGTTTTCTCTTTATAGATATGCCTGTTTTGTTCACACCCTGTTTTCTTGATTTTCCCTACAACTTCCTTTAGTTCCTTGAACATATTAAGACAGTTGTTTTAAAGTATTCGTTTCAGGGGCACCTGGGTGGTGCAGTCGGTTAAGCGTCCGACTTCAGCCAGGTCACGATCTCGCAGTCTGTGAGTTCGAGCCCCGCGTCAGGCTCTGGGCTGATGGCTCAGAGCCTGGAGCCTGTTTCCGATTCTGTGTCTCCCTCTCTCTCTGCCCCTCCCCCGTTCATGCTCTGTCTCTCTCTGTCCCAAAAATAAATAAACGTTGAAAAAAAAATAAAGTATTCATTTCATATATCTTATTAAGTTTATTTCAGGGGCAAATTGTCAAATTGTTTTTCCTTTGAATGGGCCACACTGTCCCAGTTCTTTGTATGCTTTGTGTGGATTTTGGTTAAACACTGGACTTTTGATTCTAATAATCTGGGAAGTCTGGTAATCAAGTTTTCCCCTTCCCCCAGGGTTTGCTGGGTTGTTTGTTTGTTATTGTTTTGGGGATTTTTGTTTTTGTTTGTTTGTTTGAGGTTGTCTCTGTGCAAAGGATCAGCCTGAGGTATAAATATAATATCTTCTTAGGTCTTTTCTGAGCCTTTCCTTGGGCAAGTGCAATCATTTTTAAATTTTCTCTAGCCATGCAGTTATTTTTGAATATCCAATCTTTTTTTTTTTATTTTTTTTTTCCAACGTTTATTTATTTGTGGGACAGAGAGAGACAGAGCATGAACGGGCGAGGGGCAGAGAGAGAGGGAGACACAGAATCGGAAACAGGCTCCAGGCTCTGAGCCATCAGCCCAGAGCCTGACGCGGGGCTCGAACTCACGGACCGCGAGATCGTGACCTGGCTGAAGTCAGACGCTTAACCGACTGCGCCACCCAGGCGCCCCTGAATATCCAATCTTTAAAGTCTGGCTCATGAAAGGGGAAAGGTGAAAACTGAAGGGGTCAGAAAAGAGCACTGGCCATTTAAATTTCCTGGAAGTCAGCTCAGCCAGAGGGGGAGGGGCTTGTAATGGGGGAATCATGAGGGGTATAGGGAGGGGTGCAGCAAAAGTGGCTACCTATCTTTTTGCATCAGAAGCAACAATCAGCAGTGAGAACACAGATCACCAATATTTGGAAGACGGCCCTTTTTGTCCACCCTCGCTCCTAGAGGCTGTATGTAAGCTGTTCCAAGAACGTGCACACAGCTGCCTGCCATGTGGCTGGGGTGGGGATGGGGTAGCTGCTACTGTGTTGAGCTGAAATTGACCAAAATTAACCAAAATTTACCATCCAAGCCTTCCTCTGTAAGTTGCAATGCTTCAAAACATTCCAGAATTCCAAAATAGTTACATCAGATTCTGCCAGTGCCATTTTTGTCTAGATGGGAGACTGATTCCTGGTGATCCCTACTCCACCATCTCCGTGGAATCATTATCTAGGTTAATTTTATCTTACTATTGAGGGAAGACCTCTTTTCAGTCCTCTAGGTGATGACTTTGGAAGATGTGATTTTCCAATCTGTTGAGAACAGGCACTACTTCTGGTTTTGTGTGAACCTCAGGTACTCAGTATTTTTTAAATGGGATAATTGTAAATAAAGATCTGGATTTCTGGCTTTCCTGAAAAATGTGAAGTCTGGCAATGCTGGCTCAATAGTCCTTTAAGGTTTTTAAAGTTTGTGCATGCACCTCTGCAGGCGCTGGAAAAATTATCGAACACCATGCAGGCATTAAGAAGAATTAGAGGGGTGCCTGGGTGGCTCAGTAGGTTAAGCATCTGACTTCAGCTCAGGTCATGATCGGGCAGTTCGTGAGTTCAAGCCCTGCATCGGGCTCTGCGCTGACAGCTCGGAGCCTGGAGCCTGCTTCAGATTCTGTGTCTCCCTCTTTGCCCCTCCCCTACTCACACTCTGTCTCTCTCTCTCTCTCTCTCTCTCAAAAATAGATAAACATTAAAAAAATCTTTCTTGGTAATAAAAGTTATCTTTATCTTTTATCTTTTATAGTAGACTGTGAACTTTTGGAGAGGAAGATAGAAATCTGAGTCACAACATGTACTTGACAAATGTAAAAATATGAATGCTTAATAAGCATCTACCTAATGGTTAAATTCTTAAAAGTTAACTTTATTTACCATAGGATTGCTAGACTTCTAGGTCATAGAAATGTCATGGAAAAATAGCATATGTTTATAGCTGTAAGGAGTTCATGATGTTTCTTAGGAGACCTTTGTGAAAAAATACAGATACTAGTTTCTTAATTAAGTGAATCATGGTGAATTAAATAAATTAAAAAAAAAAAAAAAGACAGATGAATCAAATTTAGACCTGGCCAGTTCCTTACACATGTGGCTCAGCAGTGATGCAGCATATAATTTCACTTAAGATTTAGAAGGCATGGCTTTATAGTAACTGTGTCTTTTAAGGACAGGGTATAGGAAAGGTCTTATCATGTATGTCATGAACACATGTCTATTTTGTATATTCAGCATTACTTGTCCCTTCCTAAGGTACATAGATGTCTTTCTCAGAAGTTGTATATAGTTTTGGTGAGATGATCAATCCAGGTATACACTTCTTCGTATTAAAATCAAAGGAGCCATATTCTTTTTGCTGTGAGGCTGGAGACATTTGGTCTATTCAACTCTTTTTTTTTTGTTTTTCCTATGATTTTGTTTTTGTTTTTGTTTTTTTTTTAATTTTTTTTTCAACGTTTTTATTTATTTTTGGGACAGAGAGAGACAGAGCATGAACGGGGGAGGGGCAGAGAGAGAGGGAGACACAGAATCGGAAACAGGCTCCAGGCTCCAGGCTCTGAGCCATCAGCCCAGAGCCTGACGCGGGGCTCGAACTCACAGACCGCGAGATCGTGACCTGGCTGAAGTCGGACGCTTAACCGACTGCGCCACCCAGGCGCCCCACCTATGATTTTGAATCTTAAGCAAGTGACTACAGGACAAGGGAATATTGGAGTTCATTCTGTTACCTTCAGTGCCCCAAATGTGTTTTTACATGACTAGTGCTTGCCATCCCTCATTTCTGCCCACTTCTAATCCTGGTTCCCCAACTTTTGTAAATTGATTTCTACTTTTTAAAAAATGTTTTATTTATTTTTGAGACAGAGAGATACAGAGCATGAGTGGGAGAGGGGCAGAGAGAGGGAGACACAGAATCCTTAGCAGGCTCCAGGCTCTGAGCTATCAGCACAGAGCCTGATGCAGGGCTCAAACCCACAATCTGTGAGATCATGACCTGAGCCAAAGTTGGATGCTTAACCGACTGAGCCACCCAGGTGCCCCTATAAATTGATTTCTGAGTCCTTAATATCTGTATAGTAAATGCCATTTTGCTTATATTAGAGGGAGTTGTTTCAGTTGCTTGTAACATAAGAGCCCAAACCCTACAGTGTAATATGCTACCTTGCCTGTCCAGTTGACCAGGCTGTGTAGTTGGCTACAAGTCAGTGTGAGCAACGTGGGAAAGAAGTCTGCATTTAACACAGGCTTGGGCTGCATTCACAGACCTACCCAGATCTCAGGAAGTCAGTCTTGATGTACACTGTGCTGATCAAGCAACAACAACTTGGGTATCTGGTGTGAGCAAATATTCCTAAGACTACTGACACACTGGAAAGGCATATCTTATGTATGTCCTAGGTGGTAAGAGCTCTACAAACTATGTGATAGAAATAGTGTGGGCTGAAAAATTGAAAATGCAGGGTAGGAGCGTTATAATTTCTATATTTCTGCAAGTGCTAGCCATCCATCAGAGCTGAAGAGATTTTTTTAAGAGAAGGCAATTTGTAAACTATAAAGCATTGTGCAAATGTGTTGTTATGTTGAAGTATTACTAAGTAACTTATTGAACAAATTAAATGTAAGCCAATACGATGCAAGGCTGATGCAATTGCTCAGCTCTTTAGGAATTAAGATCTTTCGATATAGTAGCCACTAGCCACTTGTAGCTATTTAATAAGAATTAGGTGAAATTAGAAATTTAGTTCCTTGGGTTTCCTGGGTGGCTCAGTCAGTTAAACATCTGACTCTTAATTTCGGCTCAGGTCATGAGCTCGTGGTTTGTGAGTTGAAATCCCACATTGGGCTCTGTGCTCATGGTGTGCAGCCTGCTTGGGATTCTCTCTCTCTCCATCTCTTCCCCTTCCCCACTTGTGCATACTCTCTCTCTCAAAATAAATAAACTTAAAAAAATTTAGTTCCTCAGTTGTACACATCAAGTGCTCACTGATTACATATAGCTAGCAGTTACCATATTGGACAGGATAGCTCATTTTTCCTCTATTACAGAAAGTTCTATTGGACAGTACATCTCAAGAAAAACAAATGCTAGGATAAGATTACGGAGTCTGTCGTCTCTTCTATTTTAATGGCACGAAATAGTTTATTTTGAAATATAGTGCTTCCTGGTTTGACAAAACTGGAAGTATCTGTACTGAAATCCTTACTCCCAGTTGCACTGACGTGGAGATGGATGCCCTAACCCTTCAGCCAGGGCTGGGCTGCCTGTACCCCCATCTGGGACTTGCTGCAGAGAGGGATGGGAGGAGGCAGTGGTGAATAGAGAAAGAGCAGCTGTTTCTTGCTTTCAGCTCTTTCCCAGGCTCAGGCTACTGCTCCACCCTGAAGGCATCTGCATTTAAGGCAGAACTGTCTCCCTGCATTCCCCAGGCACTTGTGCTCTGCAGCTCAGCAGGCAACCCTGACCTCTTCCTTTGGCAGCAGAGTCTGTGCGGGGACCTTGGGCTCAGTTTCCAGAGAATGACTGTGTGTTCCTGTGTTCGAGGCTACAGAGTCTCTGGAGGCAGTGAGGTTCGTTGTGTTCCAGCCTGGTCAGGCCTGTGCTCTTCATACTCTGGTGTGAGAGAAGTGCTCCTTTCAGAAACATTTTGTATGGTTTGAACAAATGTAACAGATCATTTAATGATTATAACCAGTCTCTAAATAATTACATCTTCAAATGGTTTTGTACTTAAGAATGGAAATTCTTAGTTTAAAAAAATAAACTTCTCATTTTGATGTATATCATGCTGGGAAATAAAATTTAGTTTACAAAAAAAAAATATCATAATTTTGAAGATTCCATCAGGCAGTATTTCAGGGATGACTATTAAGGTCTTCTATCCAAATAAGAGAGACTATATGCCCAACCGAGTACTGTCTTCCAAAGCATCCCTTGGATGTTTGTCCCCTTTTCCTCAGCAGCTCCCAGTGGTGAGGGTGGGAGTAAAGACAATTTGAGGCCGGAGTGTCCCATGTCAGTAAGGACGGACGTCTGGAGAAAGAGGTCTTTGATGCCCGGGAAGTGTTGGGAAGGTGCCTGGACATTCCCACAAGTGGTGGAGAAAGGACACAGGCAATCAGTCCTTTGCAGACTTCAGAAAGAATGGACACCAACAATTGTAGATTTTCCTGGGAAGGGAAAATTGTGGTGATAAGGAGTGCAGTAGCCCTTCAGCTAAAATGGTCACCAACCGGGGGTGCCTGGGTGGCTCAGTTGGTTGAGCGTCTGACTTCAGCTCAGGTCATGATCTCACAGCTCGTGAGTTCGAGCCTTGTGTCCGGCTCTGTGCTGACAGCTCAGAACCTGGAGCCTGCTTTGGATTCCGTGTCTCCCTCTCTCTCTGCCCCTCCCCCACATGCACTCTGTCTCTCTCTGCCTCTCAGAAATAAAGAAAAAAAAAAAATTTGGGGCGCCTGGGTGGCTCAGTCGGTTGAGCGACCGACTTCAGCTCAGGTCACGATCTCACGGTTCGTGAGTTCGAGCCCCGCGTCGGGCTCTGGGCTGATGGCTCAGAGCCTGGAGCCTGCTTCCAATTCTGTGTCTCCCTCTCTCTCTGCCCCTCCCCCGTTCATGCTCTGTCTCTCTCTGTCTCAAAAATAAATACACATTAAAAAAAAAATTAAAAAAAAAATTAAAAAAAAAGTCACCAACCGATGATGTAAAATGTTTCTTGCCATGCATTTGAGAACTTCCACTACACTTGAAGAGTGCTAGAAATGTGAATTTATAGAAATCTGTTTATATTTTCCCATTAACTTACAATTAAAACTTTTTTTTGACATTTATTTATTTTTGAGAGACAGAGACAGAGCACAAGTAAGGAAGGGGCGGGGAGGGGGGGGAGGGCGGACACAGAAACCAAAGCAGGCTCCAGGCTCTGAGCTGTCAGCACAGAGCCGATGCGGGGCTCAAACCCACAAACTGCCAGATCATGACCCGAACCAAAGTCAGATGCTCAACCGACTGAGCCACCCAGGCACCTGACTTATAATTTAAAACTATAATTGTATATGCCTGTTTAAAAAATTATGGTTGAAAGAGAAAATAAATTCACACCTGTGAATAGGACTTTTAATCCATATAACCAAAAACAAAAAGCACTTTCTTTTTTTTTAATTTTTTTTTCAACGTTTATTTATTTTTGGGACAGAGAGAGACAGAGCATGAACGGGCGAGGGGCAGAGAGAGAGGGAGACACAGAATCGGAAACAGGCTCCAGGCTCTGAGCCATCAGCCCAGAGCCCGAGGCGGGGCTCGAACTCACGGACCGCGAGATCGTGACCTGGCTGAAGTTGGACGCTTAACTGACTGCGCCACCCAGGCGCCCCAAGCACTTTCTAATTCCAGAATACTAAAACAACAACAACAAAATCTTCAAGACTGTAGATATATGTGTGTGTGTGTGTGTGTGTGTGTGTGTGTATGTGCGCGCGCACTTCCAGGTCATTTAAGTTGACAACAGATTAGAGCCTTAGTACTAGGTAAACATTACAGGTTCAAATCCCAAGCAGGGATTAATTTGTTTTCTGCCCAGGTCACGGATTCCATGCTTAGCTGTTCCATTCTGCTGTTCTCCCAGTATATGCTAGTGATTATACGAGTGGGCGCAGAGTCAACTTTCACCTTCCTTGAAGCAGTGAAAACTTACCTTTTATTGCTGGTGGACAGAAGCCTCAACTAGGTAGATTATTAATTAAAGGTGTTATTCTACTATAAAGCGCTTTACTTTGGAAAGGATCATGTAAATAAGACAGACAATATTTTCCTACTTTACGCTGTAGATGAATTGATCAATAATGAATTGGCTGAAACATGAAAGAGCTGAACATAAGTATTTGTCATTGATTTTCCATGCATTGATAATTTTGCACACCATGGGCTCTTTATCTATTAATCACAACTTTTTTCTGAGATTTCATTTTGTAATTTTTGTGAGGCATAGGGCCTTGTCCTTTTTAGCGTTGTTTGTTTTTTCCGATTTTTCCCTCACTTATATGGCAATCTCCTGGTGAAATTAAAAGTTTTATCATGTGGGGTCTAAGTGAATTGTCCAAAGATAAAGTGGTCGGAAATGAAAGTCCTCAATCATAAGTTGTCATGTGCTGTGAACCCAAGAATATATTATAATTTTTTACTAAATTTTAATTACAGATAATTTACTGTAAAAGTAATGATATTCAAAAAATTTAACTGCAACCAACCCCCAAATCTGAGTTGAGGATGCAGATTACATAAAAGATATGTCAGCCAAACATTTTAACAGCCACTAATAATGTTAGTCAAAAAGAGAAAAAATTAGTTTTTTAAAAGGTGAACACATAAATAGGGCAAGTAAGCATAATGAATTTTATATTTTATACTTATGAAAGTGAATTTTAAAGTTTCAAAAAGTAAAATAACTTGTCCATGTTCTCAAGCATAAAGTCTATATAATTATAGTTACGCAAAAGTATTAAATATAAAAGCCAACATTTACAGAGCATTTGCTGTGTGGTAAGCACACAGATTATCTCATTTAATCCTATAACAATCTGAGAGGTAAGGACTATTAACATCTTCATTTTACAGATGATAAAAACGGAGGTTTAAAAAGGTTGAGTAATTTGCATAAGGTCACAGAGCTGGAGGAGACAGATGTGGCAGTCTGACTGCAGAATCCTAGTACTTCACACTGTCTTAAGGTGAAAAAAACTTATTCCCTGAATCCCAGATACTGGCACTAAAGCATTTAAAAAATTAAAAGCAGGGGCACCTGGGTGGCTGAGTTGGTTAAGCAGCTGACTTACTGCCCAGCTGGTGAGATCGCTGACAGCCCAGAGTCCGCTTGGAATTCTAGCTTTCTCCTGCCTCTCTCTGCCCCTCCCCC